CACCTGCCATACCGAATCCCATCATTCTGCTCGAAATAAGAAGAAATAATCCCGCAACAAACGAAATCGGTTTTTTGTAATGTATGTGTAACGCCGTTAGTTGATAAATGGCATATGCCGTATCAGCATTGGCATACACCACAGCCGTTATTAATGAATGTTCTTTGATATTGAATGGACCGCGATTAAGCGAAAACTTCCATCTATAAAGTTGAAATATTTTCTGAGGTAATATACGAGCCATCAGCTGGCCGAGTGGCATTGATATTAATTGAAAAATGACAATATCAGTATTAAGTGGATATCNGAAATAAATGGCATTTGAACCGAATCTGGTTGAGTTATCCTCAATACTGATACAACTATAGTCAACAATAAACACATAAATACAGTTCGAAATGTTAAATATGGCATTTTATCATCATTAATAATTGGTACACTAGCATTTACTTCATCATAAGGTGATTGAGTGGTACAATTAAAAGTTGCATGTGTATCGCGTAATAGTGCATCTGCTTTAATAAAGTTTAACTCATTCACACAAAGTTCATCCAAGTAAATGTTTTCTTTTACTATCGGCGGGTTTAAAGTTGATGTGTCATCGTTTGTAGAATATTGTATCGAGGCAGAGGATAACTCAACCAGATTCGGTTCAAATGCCATTTATTTCGAACAGAAACTGTTGACACCAAATTCGTAGCAGTGTTCAACACAATGAAGAGAGTAGACGATACAGTAAATAAGCTTTGTAACTTCGCGATACCAAATGAGTTTTCAGAAAAGACTTTAAATATGATTACCTCTATCGAGCGCAATAAAACATTTACGTACTCGCATTAACATGTGTATGCTTTATTTTACCAATAAAGTAATGAATTGACATGTATACATGTGTACAGTTAGGTAGAAAACAGAATCGATCGAATATTAAACAGTTACTTTTCCATGATAACTTTAGTAATAAACACACTGTATACATTTAAAAGAATGAAATGATGTAATTTGTTTCTTTTTCTCTCTCGTCTGTTTGTGTATGGGCGTGGGTGTGGGTGTGGTTGTTGGTCTACATAACTTTATAACTAAAGTTTACTGAAAAGACCCAGAAAAGGGAGTAACCCACGTAGTCTAAAAGTATTGATTTTTTCTTAATACTAAAATTGTTTAAGTGATTTCACATTCCCCAGTACCCACAACAAGAAGAAAGTAAAACAGAAAGATGACAGGTATTGGTATAGGTGGCATATACTTTGCAACCTGCAACCAAACATGATCGCATCCAGCCGCCTGGTGACCGAACGAGCTGTTTGATGACATCTGAAAACCACTGTATGCATTCGTACAGATTCAGAGGACGAAAACTGATGGGATCTTTAGTTCGCTGCCACGGAAAATCGTATCAATTCCCTTGGTTTCAAAAACAGTCACGCGGATGCCATTGACTTCGCCAAAGCACAGAGAATAAAAGCATAACGGAACAAAGAGAAACGCTAGAAATTATCCGCAACACGAATACAACTGACACTGGTTCTTACTTACGCAATGACTACTTGTAAGAGCCAAGAACGAACAATACCATCGTGATTAATTTGCCGTTTCCGGCAAAACCGAAACCGGACGTTGCACAAGCGCATATTCCCTTATCTTGTATTAAACAATTAGTAGGCCTGAGAAATTTGCTATTTCTAGTTTATGAACTACACCAAGTGAAGATCAACTGCGTGAACTAAAGCGACTTGATGCGCTGGAGAAAGACAAAGAAAAAATATAACCCGAAATAGCAGAAGACATACATTTTAATCCCTCTACTTGTTGTAAGCTTATGTACTCAAAGTACATATTTTTCTTAGGCGGGTGGCTGTTTTGAAGTTTTTAAAATTTTTCTTGTTGTGATTATCAAGCAGCTCCTTACATAGCCGGCTGGGTCACCAAGCGGTTGGGTGCCGATTTATAGTACTAGCAAAAAATCAATACTTTTAGAGAAGGTGGATCACTCCCTTTTTGAAACTACGTTTTCCAGTAAAAGTTTTACATGACTATTTTTGAATGAAAATGTCTGAATAATAGTGGCTCGAATAATGCAGCTCAACCTTTACTACTTGGTAGGAAAACCTATTTTTATTCGGATGCTGATTTGTATTTTTGCTGCTATACTGTTCGGATAGTTCCCAGTGGTAAATTGTTCGAAGTGTTCCGGTTTAGGTATACTTTTAGTAAATGTGCTGAAACATATATCCAAGAAAAATTCTAGAAATCATGGTCTATTCCACAATACGCAATGGAATATACATATAAGAATTTCTCTTAATCATTCCTGCAAAAACATTATGACTTCCCTAAAAACTGATGTTTAGCCATCTGGTTAAACACGGTTCTTGAAAAAGAATAATTAATTTCGCAATCAATCAACACACACGATTGTTCGCATTATTCTTTGAGACTTATTTATTATTATTTTTTCTTGGTGGCCGAGCCGACTTGGTAACGAGCTCCTTGCTGTCCTTGCTATATGCAAGCCGCCCTTAGCTTGAAATTGGTTCATGTCTATTCGGGAATTGTCAAATCTTTAAGTTCATCAGGTACAGCATCAATCCACAGTTTTTGCGCCACCGATAACTTCGGTACTACTGTGTTTCTTGTACAGGAGAGAGCAACAAGACGAGCAGATGTTGCACATTGTGTTATTGTTGAATGCTGGCAAATTGTTGCTATCTAGATGTAAGCCTTGTGTATATAACGTGGCATCATTGTAGAAAATGTAATCCTCCGAACAAAATAATGCTCACACCATTTTTTGTGACATGATAGAGCAAGCCTACCTGAATTCATAATGAGGTGCAGAACGAGTTCAAAATTTCAAAATTTCAGAACATCTATAACTCACCTTTGGTAAATATGTGCAGTTACCTGCATCCACATTAGATGTAGTAGATGTTGACGAACATTTTGAACTAATTTTGAGCTATCAACGGAGGTGGATGCAGGTGGATACCTCATTGCAATCATGACACCTGTTTCCAGCATGCGGTCATCGATAAAATTCTTTTATTTTCTCTTCACTTTTAGATACAAATCGAAATAGTTTTTTACCGACGTACAGCTGAGGATGTCCTGATTCCAAATACATCTATTTCAAATATTTAAATTAACATACTTTCATAAAAAATCGATCTTCTCTTAGATATGGCTGATATAGGGCCTATGTTTTCCATATGCATTATCTCCGAAAGTTCGCTACTTGGAACAAAAGTTTTTGCTTCATTAAATAGACCGTCTATCTCAGTATCTTCGACACTATTTCAATTTTGAAAAGGCGTACTTTCGTTTTTTGCCAAATGTTCGCACGGATGCCCACCTTGTCACGGTCCCCTCCGAACAAAATAATGCTCACACCATTTTTTGTGACATGATAGAGCAAGCCTACCTGAATTTATAATGAGGTGAAGTAACTCATCAGGTGGTTTCAGCAAATCTAATCTCGGAAGTGTGAAGATTCATCCATGTTTCATATTGCGAACATACGATCTTGTATTACAAACACGTTAGGACGCTTCTGCCAATGAGGTCGTACTCTTTTCGTTTACAAAGTCTTGCAAACATTTTAATCTTTTTCGGAAAAGAATTGCCGCTCACCAAACTACTTGTTCAACTGTTTTATATCCTCGTGCATTACGCTTTTGTCCTCGATTTCGTCCTATGCGCTTATTCTTCAACAGTTTTATGCGCACATGCTAAACACTTTCGTTCATTGTCTTTGTTCTGTCTGATCTAATGTAGTTCGAATGATCGTAGCTCCGGCGTTATCAGCTGACTAAACGTACAATTACTTTCTAGACCTATAAATTGTGAAATTCGAATAGACTTTCGTTGATTGATTTTCGTAGTTAAATAATTTATGTATATATCATGCAGCTACAGACAGGCATGGGGGAGTCCGAGTCCGGACTGGAAGATTTTTTGGCGGACTCGGGCTCGGACTGGAGATTTTTTTGAAGGACTCGGACTCGGACTCGGACTTGAGTTTTTGTATTTCGAGTCCGATCTATTCAACTTTTAACACAAATGAGTAGAGAAAAAAGAAAAGCGAAATAACAACACCTACTGTTTCACATGAAATTGAAAATTTTGTTCGGGAGACGGACATAGAACGTACCCTTATTTTCGAAAAATCAAAAATCTATCCATGGCTCAGCAAATTAAAAGATAAACCACCTTCATCAAAAGAATCTAAAACGTTATCGGACTCGAAATGGATTCGGACTTGGCTCGGACTCGGTACCCCCTCGGACTCGCCCATGCCTGGTTACAGAGTATATTTGTACTTCAAAACGTTTTTCAGAAGAAGAATAGTATGTTTATCTTTCTATTTTCCTTGCTCTTTCCTCTCTCTCTGGCTTTCTGATCTCGAAACAGACCTTGATTATTACTTTCATTTTTTTCATTTTAATTTATTCTCGTGTATAAATTTCATTCGTGTATATTTTATTTAATTTATTCTTGTGTATCCTCATGCAACCATATATATATTACTAAACGGGTATGTACATTAGAGCCTTAGCGTATAACGCATCTTCTTTATCTAATATACGACAAAGTGCGCACACATTCGATCTAAAAGGAACGTACGCAGAAAGAAAAGAGGAAAATTTTTATCAAACAAATGGAAAGAGAAGCAAAGAGAATTGCTTGTTCTCTTTTCTTTCTGAATGTGTCTTTATGTCCCACACACAGATATCTGTATGCAACATTAAAAAGAAGAAGATAAAGCGCTGTACGCTAAAGTTCTATTCTTTTCTTCATCTGCTATCTTGTTTTCTTCTTTCTTCGTTTACCTATTGTTATCACAATATGCGTAGCTCTTGTTTTCTCTATCGCCGATAATAATGCGGCTTACAAGAATAGAGAAAATAAAGTGAAATTAGAAAGAGACTTTCTAGAGATCCCCTAAAGAAGCATGATCAAGTAACATTGGACCCTCGCCAAATCCCTAAGTTGGTTCAGAATTTAATTCTCTGTCCAACCACATTTGAACCAAGGTTTCATCGCTTACCTGAACTGAGCTATTTCAATTTAAAAAAAGTTGAATTTTTTAAACTTCAAATTAAACTCAAAAACTGAAATTTTGAGTTGAAGACTTGATTTTTTGTGCAGAGAACTTGTTCCTTTATCTTCCTGTAAAATGGGCGCAAAAAGATAATTAAAATTAACAAATTTATACGAATTAAAAGTTCTAAGAGTCAAAAATCGTTTCCAATTATCCCAGTTTACTCTAATTCTCAACCATGGTGTCTGCATTGAACGATGACTATCAGGTTCATTTTTGAAATTTGTTAGTAGAGCAGTTGGAAATAAGTATTTGTAAATCGAATATAGAGCTGCTATGAATAACATGACTTTCAGTCTTGAAAATACTTTATTCGAGCTTTCGCCAGCTTTCAGTTGGCATCATCAGGAATGTAATAGACATTCGAA